CAGGGGAGACAATGGTGTAATCCTGGCCCAAGCTGGAAGGCCTGAGAACCAGTGCCCAAGGGCAGGAGAAGATAGATGTCCCAGTGCAAGCCGAGAGAACACATTTTCCCTCCTTCCATCTTTTCTTTGTATTCACACCCTCAACAGACAGGATGGTGCCCACCCACGCTGGAGAGGACATCCTCATTACACAGGCCACCCATTCACATGTTATCTTTCACCAGAAGCATCCTCACAGATAGCTCCAGAAACAGTGGCTTCCTAGCCATGTGGACATCCCAGTCAGGCTGACACATGAAATTAACCATTACATTCCCTGTCCTGAGGTTTTTTCTTTTTTCTTTTTTCTTGAGTTGGAGTCTCACTCTGTCACCCAGACTGGAGTGCAGTGGCTGCTCCCGGCCACTGCAGCCTCAACCTGCTGGGCTCCAGAGATCCTTCCGCCTCAGCCTTCCAAGTAGCTGGAACTACAGGTGTGCGCTACCATGCCCAGCTAACTTTTGATTTATTGTAGAGATGAGGTCTCACCAAGTTGCCCAGGAGGATCTTGAACCCACAGGCTCAGGCAATCCACTCACCTCAGCCTCCCAAAGCATGGGATTACAGGCTGAGGCACCGAGCCCAGCTCTGAGGCTTTTTTCTATCCACCCTTACTCATTGTCACTTTGAGGACATCATTTCTTAAGAAAAATATCTCTAAATGTGCCTGGGAGGATCTGCAAAGCTCTACATTAAATGTTACATGTCTGTGTGGGGCCTGTTTCTGCCTCATGTGTGTGGCACGTCTGTGTGTGTCATGTGTGTGCTCTTGGATCTGTCCTCTTCCATGTTCTCTCTTGTTCACACATGACCCAGTTTGCCATGTGTCAAGCGGGCATTGAGGAAATAGTGGATGTGCTAAGCCCATTCCTAGGCCTGGGATACACACGAGGTGCAGTAGAGGGAGGAGTTATTTTCTGAAGTTTCTTCAATGACCATGATTGATTTTATGAAAAAAATTATAAAAAAGAAAGACGCTCTAACTTCCCTCTGGGCAGAGATGTGGGATGAAGGCAGGGTTCTGGGCCGGCTTCCTGGTCCACTTGTTTGCTACGTGACTAGGTGTTGGGCCCGGACCCACCTCCGTCCGCCAGGCACAGAGTCTAGCAACAGGGGCTTTGGTCACAAGCCTTGGGATGCGACATCCAAAGTCCCAATGGGTGCCGGAGCCGCGGTGCCGAGCGTGGGCTGAGCCCGGCTCAGGTCCCGCCTGTGCCGGCAGAGGGCGCCGTCGCCCCGATTTTCTCGAGGGCGGAGCCCCATGTGCCCGGGACCTCCTCCGCCCCAGCCGCGTCCTCGCTCCAGCCGGGAAGGGTCTCTGGGGCGGGTTCAGGCCCAGCGTGCGGAGACCTGAGAACAGTCGCAGGAGGACTC